ACAGCGTCTGGTTCCATGAGCGCTTAAGCTAGCAGCACTAGTTGCAATACTCATAAGAATTCTAAAGGTCCTTCCGCCCAGAAAACACATACCTTCCAGGAATAGTTGGTATCGGAAGTGCACCGTATCCACGAACAACGTCATGTCCGAATAAGGTCATTACCATAGCACGAGAATACTAGTTGAGGCCCTAAAGACATAGTCCACGTCTATTTGCTCAGTTGAACGACCAAATTAAAGAAATGTAAACACCCACATTTGTATGGGTTAGTGCTTGAGAATGTGGCTGGTGATGGGAAGGTCGGGAACGAAGCGATGCGATTCTCCACGAAAGCAGGTGGCGGACAGTCCCTCGGTGGATCCGGCCACGTGCTTCCAGTCAGGTCCGTAGCTCATCGAGTACTTCACACATATCGATGGGATTTCGGGAAACTGAAATCGGCACTTTTATCCCTATGTATCGCTGATCATCCAGTGTCTCAGATGCATCCCAGAGATTTGGATTCTGAGCTACGGTTTCTACAGACCCCTTCCCATCTTAGTACCTGAATAGCAAACTCGAAACTCATCATCATTGTGATAAAGTCGAATCATCTTTATAGAAACACTTTACTCATCATTGCCGAATTAGCGTCAGAGCAGCATCTGCGTATAGATGCTCATTGTGCTTTATTGAGCTTGGTCTTTCTTGTTCTATGGATCAAGAATTGAATAAATTAAGAATTTCTCGGGGATCCACCTCATTTTAAAGGAAGCGATTACGATAAAGAGGGAGCGCATCGGGGAAGCATGTGCACCACACGAATCAGTTACTTGGCTGCCAGGGAAGCGAGATGTGGCGCTTTCACGACGAAAGGTGCGCTGGTTGCTGAGCAGGACTTCGAAAGCGCTCCGCCCCCAAAAGCGATCCGCCCACTAGTTTACTTGTTGATTTGGACGAGCTGCGTGACCAGCAGCGGCGCAAATGGGTGATCTCGTTCATTCGTCCACTTTCTTAGCTGTCACCTGAGTGCTATCTTACTTGAGGGATCACGCGGCGACACGGTACTCTGTTCGTCTGCTCGTTCAGAGCTTACAAGGAAGGTCTTTCAGGGTGTGCCAAGCTTTTTCAAAACGGTCTTTTGCATGATATAGGGGCACATGCGGGAACCACAGAACCATGGTTAATTTTTCCTGAACGGCCCTCTGAATACCAGAAAAGGGGGTCCCTAGTCACACCTTTTTCACCAGTTTTTCAATCAAAGTCTATTTGTAAGGGTTACTGACGTTCCTAATCATGAATTTGGTACTAATTATTCATGCTAACTCCATTTTGCGCGAATTTTGAAACGTCAACTCGAAATGCAAAAATTTGTCACCACGAGGAATCGAACTAGGGACCCCTTTTCTGGTATTCAGAGGGCCGTTCAGGAAAAATGAACCATGCTTCTGTGGTCCCCATATGTGCCCCAATGTCATGCAAGAAACCATTTTGAAAAAGCTTGGCACACCCTGAACGACCTCCCTTGTTAGTCCCCGATGGCACGAAACTGCCGCTCGATGGGAAATAGTAACTGCCCCTGGGACTGAAGCCTTGGAGGAGCAGACGAACAGAGCGCCGCGCCGTGGTCCTCCCAACTAAGATAGCATCGTTACTTGTTCATAAGTGGGAACCAATGGCCAAAAAAGGGGGTCCGTTTTGCGTTTTCTTGACGGATTTTCTGCTTTTTTCGCTGCTGGGTACCACTGAGCACCCACGTCACACTAAACCCTTCTTGAATTTATCGTAACCGCTGCCTTTAATCTTATTTCTCTCAACTGGAAGAATCTCCTAAGGAAAAATCATGATTATATCCCACTTATATTAAATTACTGTTTTGTGACTCATAAGTCGCGTCAGCAAAAAGGCGTGGTGTTGAGTTGTGAGGCGTGCGCATATTTTGGATAGCGGTCCATTTGGCGGTGCGAATAAGTAGATCACTTGCGAAGATCTTGAAGGCTACACTGAGAAAACGCTAAAAATGTGCTATAAAAGCAAAAGTCAAAATATGACCAACGGGTAAAATTTATTTATTTGTTCATTTCCACACGTCCAGTGGACGTACACAGAGTATGCTTCAAATAGAGATACTATCAGCCGCTAAAAGGGCAGCAGTCGCACTCAATTAAGTCACAGCAACGGGATAACGGCTGACCTAACCAACATTCAGAAGACAAATAAGAGAGAGGAGCCTGTTCAAAAGATTCCTCTAGTATTTTTTGAACCCTGAGTTACAGACTAGGTTGGTTTACAAAATTAATACTTTATACGGTGTTGTTCAAGGACAAATCTAAGAAACCGATTGTGATATGAACAGGGAAGTTTTTATTGCACCTCAGTCCTGTGGTTCAAACTTTTACCCTGCTGAAAACTTTTCATTTAGGGGAAAACTCAACATCCAAACGCAATCCTTCCTCTAATCATCCCTGCAATGGTGTTTTCCTGTGCGCACAATGGTGAAGGAAAGCCCATACTGATTTTATTCATTCACTGCGCACAAAAGGGGCGCTATCACAACCACAAGGATACCAGAGTGGATGGAAACATATTTACAAGGACACAAAAAAAAACAATTATTTCTACTCAAGCACCTAAAAATGAGCTATCAGCAGAAGCTCGACTTTACTGGAACCACTTTATGTATCAATAGAAAGCGCGTTTCTCTCCCTGTCTAAGTCTACTGTTACTTTTACCTTGAAACGCTTTTCTCCTCTTCTTTGAAGTCTCGAATACAATCTCAACAGATTGTTTTGCACAAATTACTTTTCCCCTCAAATCTGGTCGAAAAAGTACGGAAGGAAGATTCGGTCCCGAATTCACAAAAAATACGCTGTGCAGCCGTGATTCAAAATGTCATTCTCGCGACAATGAAAGCTTCGAAGAAGATTAGGGTGAAGGTCGGATATCGGAGACTGACAAGATCAAATGAGGGTTTTAATCAAACCAAATCTGCATGGAACTGTTGAACTTTCTAACTAGGCATAACTGAGATGGGGTTCCCAAATATACAGGTATCCAAAGAACGTCCGAGGAAGTCGACAAGTGCCGCAACCCTTTTCACCACAGTTGCGCCCCA